TTAGTATTTTAACACTTAGCTAGTATTTTAATACCACTAATAATTACCACCACCACCACCAACCACCACCACTACTACTAATGTAGCGCTAGAAGCTCTTAGCAGCTCTCACTATCTTCATCCTTCCATTGTCCACATTTAATTTCTGCGGCTCTGATACCACATCCTCTACCGTCTTCGCCTTGGTCGTCCCTCCGGCACCCCGGGAACAACTGCCTTTGGTGTCTGGATCACTTCCATCCTTTTGACGTGGCCCAGCCACTGCAGTTGTCAGGCTCGGCTTTCCCGTGGCAGGGCTGGGTCCCTGCACGATTGCTACGACTCATGATAGTTTCTCATCCTTCATTCTTGTGTGATGGGATCACGCCGTGCCCAAAGCTTTTCCACGCAAACTTGAAGAAGCACAGAAGTGTATTGTACAGAGCCCAGTCCTCTCCACTGCTTCGCAAGTCCAGATGCAGCATCAGCATTAACGTGCCTGGTAAAAGTAATAGGATTACTTACGTATTTGAAGTGAAGCATATGCTTAACTGGTTTGCAGAAAGTCAGACACAAAATACTGAATATGAGTACCTTGTTGAACTGATACCAAAGTCCAGGTGACTACAAAATACCTAGTTGCCTGTCTCTTCCAGGATTGAATAGATGTTAGCTATCAGAAGAGCTACAGCGATAACTAGAGATATTCAAAGGGATTTTTCATGCTGGCCTCTTTGCTTTCTCCCAGTGCACCTTGTTTTACTTTTCTTAATTGCAAGCAGACAAACAACAGGGAAGTGTTTTGTACTCACAGCGGTTTGGGCTTGAGGGATTTGCAGGGGTTTGAGAGAGCTGGGGATGAAAGACACCTCTCCATGCTTCTTAGGCAGATTTTATTCCTGTTTCCAAATAGGTACAAAATGAAAAATTAAATCAGCCGGGAAGATAGTGCAACTGCCCCTGGATATGTCTGAGGTGATGTCAGTCTACCAAACAGATGTAATTATCTCTCATCATTTTGTGTCATTCCCGATCACTTTAATTCCATCACGTTTCAGGCAATTTTTTTTTCTTATTATTATTTAGGTACAGATCAGAGCTTTAATAACTGGAAGCGTGTAGGCAGAGATAAAAAAACCCTCTCGCTGCAAAATTAATTTTAATAATGAGAATAGGAAATATATCTTAACAAAGAAGCCTTCTAGAAAGGATCGCTCCAGAAACAGGCAGGGATGGAAAGCTGGGTTGTGTGCTGGATTTTGTGTTTTCATTTCACGTTGAGCCTACTTTTTCTGTCTAGAAAGACAGCGAAGGATGCACAGGTTTCCTAGCTTCTAAATTAAACTATTGCTGGATGCACATTTAGAAACACACGCTTTTGCATCTGCGCAGGCGTTAGTAGGTTTGTGTCTATTAGACACACATGATCGTGATTTGTCTGGAAGTATTTTGAGGTATAAAATGAGCTCTATGGACGTTGTAAACGGCCTGTCTTCACATGAAATGTCAGACTTTCACTATGTTATAAAATCAACAACAATTCCCCACTATTCAGCACGGGGGAGGCCACATCTGGAGTCCTGTGTCCAGCTGTGGCCCCCACGACAGAACGGATGTGGACACATTGGAGAGAGTCCAGTGGAGGGCAACGAAAATGGTTGTGGGGCTGGAGGACAGGACTGGTGAGGAGAGGCCGAGGGAACTGGGCTGACTGAGTCTGGAGAAGAGAAGAGCGAGGGGGATTGAATAGCAGCCTTCACCTCCCTGCAGGGGGGCTGCAAAGAGGACGGAGCTGGGCTGGTCTCAGTGGGGGCAGACGACAGGACAAGGAGCAATGGGCTCAAGCTGCAGCAAGGGAAGTTGAGGTTGGATATTAGGAAAAACTTTCTCATGAGGAGGGCTGGAACAGGTTACCCAGAGCGGTGGTGCAGTCTCCGTCCTTGGAGGTGTTGAAGACCCAGGTAGACAAAGCCTTGGCTGGGATGATGCAGTTGGGGCTGGTCCTGCTCTGAGCAGGAGGTCGGACTAGATGTGACCTCCCGAGCTCCCTTCCAGCCTCGTTGTCTGTGATTCTGTGATTAGCAATAAAAAACAAAATATGCATCATAGTAATCGAGAAGATTATGCTCATCCTTCTTATCTTTGTGGTTGGGCATTTTCCCTTTCGGGAAGCCGGGCGGGTGGGTGGGGGGAATCGCGCTGTAATACTGCTTCTAATTTTAAACTAGTAAAATTTATATCCCCCGCTCCTGCTCCCTGGGCTCAAAAAGACACGTATGAGAGAGAAAGGCATGTGAAGCTAAACGCATCCACTGAATTGGTCTGGGGAAAAACATGCAAATTATTTTATTCTAGCTACCACTTGGGATCCAGTCTCTCTCTCTAAAACTCAGGTCTCTCCCATGCGTGTTTTTCTCTGTGGGTATCTTTGCCTCTCCAGCTGCTCAGATCCCTTCGTGTGCGTCTGCTCGTGTGCCGTTTCAGGAACCAAAGCACTTCATCGGCACAAGGTTTTCAGCTCAGCTCTAAACCGAGCTCTGACAAAATCCTCTTGGCTTTGTCCTGCTTTACCTTGGCACGACATAATGTTTACCCCTTTCTAAATTCATTTTCCGGAGCGGCTTTGTATTCAAACCAGAGGGGAAAGCGCAATCTCGCCTCCCATAACAAATCTCAGACGCCCAGATCCTACTCCTGCACCAAAAACTGCACCCAACTGAAGCCCATGGGAATTGTCCCAGGTTTTTTAAGAGGTATTTTAAGAGCTCAATCATGCAAACTCACCCTGTGCGGTAATGCTTATTACTGGAAGGAAGTCAAAGTCCCACGTTGACGCCAAGGGGTCTTCTCCAGGTAGTGGCAGCGTTAGGATGATATGGCTGTGACGGTCCAGGAGCTATGAAAGAGGCAAGGGGGATATCTTTCACCAGGCCTGCTGCATGGCTGGGATGAAGTCAGACAAGCAAGGCATTCTTTCTCAGGCCCTTTTTGGGGTAGGTTAGGTGGAGACGAGCATTTCTCTGCTTTTCCACAGTCCTGCCTAGTTGCGTTGCACAGATGGAGTGGCGTGTTAGCTGGAGGGTGTCGGATGATGAGTTGCCTTGGGAGGCTGTTCGGTTTCCTTCGCCAGCTTCAGAAGAAGAGGTCGCTGCCGTCGGGTCGTATAACATAAAGGTCTAATTCGAGGGTGGAGATCAGGAAGGACTTCCTGGCTATGAGGGTGGCCAAGCACTACAGGCGTCGTGGTCTCTCCATCCTTGGAAGTTTTCAAGAGCAGGTTGGACAGACTGGGATGCTTCGGATAGGCACGATCCTGCCTCGAGCAAGGGGCTAGATGGCCTTGTGAGGTCCCTTCCAGCCTGGCTTTCCTGTGATCCCGAGGTCCGTGATGGTCAGCGGGAATATTTCCACTGGCTTCATTTCCCTTCGGCAAAGGGTTGGTGTGCATGGGAAGTTACTCCGGAGTAAGGCGAGGTGTACATCTGAAGCACTGCGGCCAGTGCCTACAGGGGCAGCGTTGCAAATTTAGCTTCTTCTCCAGCTCTTCTGGCCACTTCCCCCTGTCAATAAATACTCAGCGCCCTAAAATCAATCAAGTGGCCTCAATCCAGCAAAGCACTCAGGCCCAATTCAGAAAAGTATGTACGCACGTGTTTCCTTTAAGCATGAGAGCAATCCCATTGCTGCCCCGCAAAGCACTTGGCAGCTGCTAGCTGCAACCACAGAAATAATCCCACCAAAGTGCTTAAAATTAAGCAAGGGGTAAAGTATTCTATTGGATCGGGGCCTGACAATGTTTATAGGATCAACATGAAAATATATGACGTGCCCCTATAGCCGCAGAAGCCAAGTGCCTGCAAGGAAAGGGAAGGGGAATGTTAAATCCATTTATATCTTCGTTTGGAAGGCCGTTGCCTCTGACTTGTGACCTACTGTCCCCTTTATAGAAACCGGTAGAAAGACAAGAACAAGGCATTTGATAATTTGTCCAGTGCCCTGGAGATTTTTTTTGTTTATTCCTTTTTTTTTTTTTAATTTTTCCCCCACATAAATTACACAAGCACTTTATAAAATGAATACACATAAAACACCTTATAAGTGCATAACTTAAAAAACAAAACAAAACAGAACAAATGAACGCCTTTAAAAATCTCACTGAAAATAGGTTTTTTGATTGATTGTTTGCACCAGCTGCTTGAATTGGCAGTGTGGCTTTAGCGTATACATAACTGAAAAATATATATTGTATAATATATATATAATCTATATATTCCTGGCGTTTTGCTATAAGAAGTGCCTCGCTTACATCACATCTCGTTCCCTCCGTACGACGGTAGAAATGACCGAGTGAAACAGCTGAAGGAGGTTGCCCCCCTCCCCATCATCAACCGACTTCTAAAGCAAAGGGGGAAAGAAAAGGTAAATAAAATATTGAACAACGTCTGTAAATGATACCGAAATAATCCGCTGAATGAAACTGAATTATCCCTGCGAAATGCCACAGATGTCTCATAGTTATTAAAATATAAGTTGATCAATGTAGAGTCTGAGGTTTCCAGGGAAACCGCCAGGAATCTTCATACGATTGTTTGAAACGTTGCATCTGCTCTCGTCAAAGCTCTGTCAGATTCTCCTCTTAGTCCTCCCCTGGAAAAATATTAATTAAAAGGGGCGGAGGCATCCCTAACTGCTATGCAAAGGACTCTCTGCCGCGTGACGGGAGCGAGCTGGGCTGTTTTGTCTGTCGCCCGAGTCTGGCCTGAGCGTTTCTGCCGCGCGAGTGCCCTGGGGCTTGGCCCGGAAAGGTCCCAAGCAGGACAGTGTCGCTGTGTCTGAAACAACCAGGCGGAAAGCCCGAGCCCAGGGTCTGCACTGGCCGTGGATGGGAATCAGAGGGGGGGTTTCCTCCGTAGCTTTTGGAAAAGCGGCGTGGATAGCTGAGCAAGCCCTTTGCCGGGCCTTGGCTGGCATCGGAGGCTTTCAAAAGGGAAAAGAAAGAAAGAGGAAACACTGCTTGTGGGTGGATCATCCCCCAGACTTGTGCGTGGGTGGCAGCTGCCCCCGGGGAGGAAGGGGGCTCCGGGACTGGGGTGGCTCTGAACGCAGGCGGATGCCCCCACCACCCGGGGCTTTATTCGCACGCCGAGGCCACGGAGGTGACGCTGGTGATCTTGGTGGAGTCATCAGACCACGGCTGGAGGTTCTGGAGGGCGAAGAGGGACGAGTTGTGGACGCAGATGGGGTCGGCCTGGATGGGCTGGTTGATGGTCTTCTGGAAGGCCTCCTGCTGCAGCTGCATGAGGATGCGGTTGGCTTGCTGCCGCTCCGCTTCCCGCTCCTCCGCCGTCTGCCGCCTGGGGGAAAGCAGGAGCCCAGCGTGAATGAGCCGTGGCCCGGGAGGGGCTGAGATCCCAGCTGCCCGCCCCGCTCCCCCCTGGACAACGAGGCCACGAGAGATCCCCACGCTCTCTGGCACTACGGATAGTTCATTCCTCCACGCTGGGACCCAGAAGCGATCACCCCCTCTAGCTTGATGGTCAGGATATGCCCCTCAGACGCGGGTTCGAGCTCTACCAGGAGCCGAGAGCCCCTGGCTCTGATGGGGAGGAGGCATCTTCCTCCTCCAGACTAACTCCGAGAGAGGCCCCGGAGAGAGACCTTCCTGCCCCCCGCCTCCTTGGCCCTTTCTGCAGCCCAGCTCAGGTGCCTCCATGCTGCCTTTCTCAGCAGCCCCCGCCGTCCCCTTTGTGGAGCCAAAAGCCACCTTGACCCCTGCTAGCCGGGCCTCCAAACTCAGCCCAGACGGCTGCAAAAATGGCTCCAGCCAGGCCACTTCCCTTGGGAACGGAGGAAATTAAATCCACCCTCGCCGCCCCCGCCTCTCCCAGCTTAATTAGCAATGGCTTCGAGGGACGTGATGGACTCCTGGGATTTCAAGGGCGCCTCCTTCTCCTCCAAGGCCAGCGGAGCCACTTGCAAGATTTGGGGAGGCCTAGATCTGACGTCTTTCGTCCTTCCTCCCTCTTGCAAAATCCCTTGAATGTCCGTCAGTGGTGAACTAAGGATTTGGCCCCGAGCAAGGAGCTGCGGGCTGGTGCCGGGGAGGGGAAGGGGGTGGAGACCGATGCACCCAAGCTGGTCTGGCCTGTCTGGAAGCCAAGGCCTACTGCCCTGCGGGGCTCAGGTTACAGAGCCTTTGGGGAGACTCAACTCATTGTCCTTCCCACGGCTGCATGGCTTCCCCGCGGGCTGCAGGAAGCCGGGGGAGACGGCGGGGTGGGAGGGCAGCTGTGCGGGGATGAGGTCCGGGCTGGACGTGGGACAGAAAACACTAAATAGACATGCATTGCACATATGCATGGGCACATAGATAGAAAGGTCTATACATATCCAGAGCTGGTCAAGCAAAGGCAGGCAGAAGGCAGGGCAAGGGGCCACCTTAGAGAGAAACTAGTTCAGAGAGGCAGTAGCTTTGCTTGGTCGGAGGCTATGAAAGGCCAGAGGAGGCCTCTGATCAGTAGGTTGTTGCCGGTAAAAGCTCACGCCTCTCTGAAACTGTCTGTAGTCTAAGGAGCCATCCTGCCCTGCCTTCTGCATATGCATATACATATCTATAGTGATCTGTATCTAGGCGTACATAAGCATATCTATCTCTGGCTAGATCTATATTTATACTACATATCTCTATCTAGATATATCTATATACATCTAGATTTATCTGTATTTACACTACATATCTCTATATATCTATATCTAGATATCTCTCTCTCTCTAGGTATATATCTCCATCTGGATATATCTATATACACCTAGATTTATCTGTATTTATACTAGATATCTCTAGATATCTCTATACTGTATCTAGATATATATTTCTATCTTGATATATCTAGATGTAGGTATATTTATACTATATATCTATAGATAGATAGATAAATCTATATATAGAGATAAATCTAGATATATCTATATTTATACTACATCTCTCTAGCTAGATATATAAATAGATATATCTAGATAGAGAGATGTAGTATAAATATAGATGTATCGAGATAGAGATAGATACACACACACACACACATATATATAGCAAATGCATCAATAGTCTCAGGGAATACAGCTAGCCCCGAACTTAGCTTCTAGGCCCAACTCCGCACACGTTAGACCTTTGTGGCTCCCCTACAAGGCGCAGTCTGAGTAACCCCGTCTGGTGTTAAAATCAGGGACTTTTTCCCCCTGATTAAGCAGCTAATGGGAGAATTGCCCATCGGAAACTTCCTCCCTGCTCTGTACCTGCAGCTCCAACCAAAACTACTCGCCGCCTCCAATCACTGCTCCATGTTCTCCCCTCCTTTCCCCGCTGCTCACTCAATTCTGTTTTAAAATCAATGTGTAATGAAACTGCTGTTGGGCTGGGTTTTCTTTTTATTTATTCTTTTTGCTATTGATCCCCTGAAGAGGTTCACAACGCATTAGAGCTGGGCAAACAACAAGCCAGGAGGCTGCCACGAAGCTGGTGAGGAAATCCTCTGCTCCAGCCCCACTGAGAAGGGCCCCAGCGCAGAGCTTTCACAACACGAAATACGTGGATTGGATCTAGACTCTCCCAGTCTTTCCCACACTGCTTAATGTATATGACATCGATTATTATTTAGCGCCATCAATGTGTTATTTCATTCCACAAAAAGAAAAGAAAAAGCTGTTCTGAATCACAGATTTTGTGTGTAATATATATATATATCTATATATATATATAGATATATATATGTGGATTTTATATATTGTTATATAGAAGCAGTTCTGAATCATATATTTAAATATATGTAAATTACATAAACTTTACATATACATACATACATACATACATATATATACAGCAAATCCATGAACAAAACTGCTTCTATAAAACCACAGAATCTATACATATATAAAATCCATGATTCAGAACTGCGTCTATATCAAACTATTTAATATATGTAAAAATCCAAGCTTTCACAGGCAACAACCTACTAGTCAGATGCCTTCTCAGGCCTTTTTTCACAGCATCTGATAAAGTAAATCAGTTTGTCTCTAGAAAGTGCCCTCTTGCCCTGCCTTCAGCTAACCGCCTCTGTATATGGATATTCCTATCTGTATATGCGAATGCTTTTGTGTGTAGATAGATAGATATAGAAATATATTATACTAATAATGATAATTGCATAAATATATAGATAAAATTATAGATATAGATAACTATTTAAAACTATCAAGTAAAATAAAGTTGGCAAGCACTGATTCTTAACTAACAGAAATAGATGATAGATAGCTAGATAGCTAAATAGATATAAATATAGAGATATATAGATAGAGATTATACTAATAATGATAATGCATAAAATGATATATAGTTATATATCTATAGTTGCATATATTAGCTATAGATATAAATATATAGAGAGAGATAATTATTTTAAACTTCCAGGGGAAATAAAGTTGGCTAGCACTGATTTCTGAACAACTAACTGAGACAGAGAGATAGATAATACTAATAATATAATACATAAAACTACATATAGTTATATATATCTCTCCATATAACTATTTAAAACAACTGGGTGAAATAAAGCTGGCTAGCACTGATTTCTTAACAACAGAAGCAGATGCATAGACACAGAGATATAAATATAAAGCTAGCTAGCTAGATATTATACTAATAATGATAATACATAAAACGATAGATAGATAGACTATTTTAAACTCCCGGGTGAAATAAAGTTGCCTAGCACTGATTTCTTAGCAAGGAGCAGGGGTAAGTGCCTGCAATCCGAGCCAAGCCCTGGAACCAGCTCCTCTCACTTGAAAAGGGAGGGGAAATGCCTGCCCTGTTGAAACAGGACAAAACTCAAGCAAAGCCACGCAATTATTTTCTGAAGAAGACGCAGGGGAGGAAGGAAAAAAAAAAGAATTACATAAATAATGGAGGAGTTTTCCTTCCACCGCAAATTTCCTGGCGATGCATATTTAATACTGTTTTGACTTCATAGAGAAATGTAACCCAGTCGCCTTTATAATTAGTGGTAAGAGCTGATGAATGCGGGGCCGGGCCGGGCCATCGCTCCCAGGCAGCGGCGCTGGCAAGCAGCGGGGGACCCGGGACTAGACGCGGAGCTGGGCCCGTCTGCCCGCGCACCGGGCAAGGGCTCCTTTATCTCTACTGGAAAGACACCCCTTGCCTGCCCTGCTCTGCACCGCGCTGGTGTCTCGGCTCCAGCAGAATTGGGCCCTGAAGTTGCAAAGTAGCGGCCCCGATCCTGATCCAGGAGCCCCGGGTGTGCCCGATCCGGCTCCTGGCACGGGTTTGCGGCTCCTGGGAGGGACTTTGGGCGGCTGTGGTCCCCGCTCCCAGCCGGCTCCAGGGGGCTGCAGCAAGCGGCCAGAGCCCGGAGAGAAGGATGTATTCCTAGCATTGCAATCGCTTAACGCCCCCGAGCCCGCCCCCGTGCCTAAACCCGGCTGCTCCTCCAAGCCCGCAGCGCCCTGCCCCGGGCTCAGTCCTGTCCCGGTCCAGCCACAGCGGGTTACTTTGCAGGACAGAGATCGCGGGGACCCGCGGCCCAGGGCAGCCCCGAGGGGACGGGCCCGGCTGCCGCACCGGGGGCTTCACACGCACTAAAGGCTCCCAGCAAAGTTGGGGGGGGGGGTTGCACGGCCCCAGGGGACCCTTCCGCTTCTTGTGTCCTCTGCACTCTCCTCCAGGCACAGGCACCGAGCCCGGCCAAGAAATGCCTGTCCACCTCCACCGAGCCGCCTCTCTCTCTCTCTATCCCTCAATGGATATATCTGTTGCTCACTACCTTGCTACCGCTCGATTAATCTATTTATCTGTCTATTCCTCTACCTATCGCTCTGTCTATCGCTCAATGGATATATCTATCGATCAACACATAGATAGACAGACAGACACGCGCACACATAATCTCGAATCTCCTCCATTTGGCCCCACGTGTCTGAGGGATCAAGTCCACCTCTGGGGAAGTGAATATTCATGCCAGTAGACACGGGGTTTGTAGCTGGGAAGGAAAATAGCTTTTAACCCTCATGGAGCTCCCGGGCACAACAGGATTTGTCCCAGCAAATCGAAAGCAACTGATTCAAAGTAAATTGAGGGTGACTGGTAGGAAGGAAAGTAGGTAGGTAGGTCTGTAGCTGGATCCATAGGTAGAGCGAAAGGTCGAGCAATAATCGATTGAATGACTGAGCGATAGATATATCCATTGAGCAATAGACAGATCAGCGATCTAGTGACTGAGGGATAGATCTGATCGATCGATCTATCAAGCGATAGATGCAACAGATACAGAGATATAAATATAGAGATATATAGAGATGTATTATACTAATAATATATATAGAAATGCATACTAATAATATATAGACAGAGATACACAGAGATGTATAGCTATATATTATACTAATAATGATAATACACGCGTGTCTGTACAGTTAGAGCTAGATCTAGCTATCTGGGTAGTGTGTAGATAAATTTATTTCGCCGGATAGTTTTAAATAGTTAACTAACTAAATAAATACATCTATCTACGCACTGTAACTATGTAAAACTATCCAGTGAAAATAAAGTTGGCTAGCACTGATTTCTTAACAACTAACAGAGATAGATAGATAGATAGATAGGTTTCTTTTTCCTACGGCGCTAGTCTGTCTCTCTCTCTCTCTCTCTCTGTCTTTTTCTGCTTGTTTCTCTGTAAAGTTAAAAATCCCCTTCTATCCCCTTCTGGCATGTTAAAACTCCCGTCCACCCCACCGTGATCCCACCTTCGCGGTGTCGGGGTGGCAGCCCCGGAGGACGCCCGGTCTCAGACCCGTTCCCTCCCCGCCCTGTCCCCGGGGCTCCCCGGCTCCTCTCTCCGCCGCCTCAACGAGAAGTTCAGACCTCCAGCGCGGTTTTGGCCCCCGCTAAAAACCCTTTGTCTTTTCGGCAAACGCCGCACTGCAACCACCCGGGATCCGCTCCGGTCCTTCCCCCGCTCCCCTCCTACTGCATTTTCCGCACTCGGGAATCGGATTGATTTCGCTTGAGCCAGAGCCCAAATGCCCCCATGCCAGGGGCATCAGTCCTTAAACCAACACGGCTACAACCAGCACCCCGTCCCTGGGGCCGTGCATGCGCTGGGGAAGGGGTCCGACCGGGGGGGGGGTCTCTCTTGCCCCCCACTCAGCCCCAGGCAGGGGCTCCCTGCCCTGCAGAGCTGCCTCTTAGTAGCTCCAGCCCAGAGAGCGGCTCCGAGCTGGGTAATACACTAGGGGGGCATTTCCCCCGCTCCAAGGCAGGGGAAACCCACTGCTAGGAAGTTTCTTTGCACCTTTCTCCTTGTACCTATGTCCCTGCCGGTTGGGACCCCCACCCCAAGCTCCAGTCTCTGCAGGGCCCAGAGCAAAGATCCGGGCTCGTTGCAGGTTGCTCCCAGTGCAGCCTTGCCCGCTGCGGGGGAGACGTGCGAGGAACCGGGAGGCAGAGAGAGGGGCAATGGATTGGGTTTTTGTTCCCCCTATTGAAGGAAAGCCCCCCGGGGGGGTGGCAAGAGCCCAGAGAGGCAAGTGCGCACGGAGCAGCCGGGAAAGCGCGGGCCCGCAGCCGCTCCGCAACCCCGCGACAAAGTTTTGCTCGAGTCGCGGCGCCGGGAGACGGCGCGGCACAAAGCACACGCACACACTCGCACACACGCACACAAATAAATGGAGCAGGTAGCAAACTGCCCCTACCGCCGCACGGGCTAGGTACAGCACACAATCAGGGAAAGCACGCACACACACATACAGAGAGCAAGTAGCAAACTCCCTGCACCGTCGCACGGGCTAGACACAATACACAATCGGGGAAAGGAAACGCACACACGCACGCACGCACGCAGACAAATGGAGCAGGGAGCAAATTTGCCTCTACCGTCGCACGGGATAGACAACACATAATGAAAGGAAGTACACACACACACACACACACACACACACACACGGAGGCGATCTCAGGCAGCGAGCAAAACCCAGAGAGAGCACAACCCTGGAGAAAACAGACCCCGCTCTGAAACACACACACACACCCTCGCAAAGATCAAACACAACTCACACAAATAGAGGGAGCAGGCAGCAAACTGCCTGTGCCCTCGCACGGCCTAGATACAGCACACAATCAGGGAAAGCACACACACACTTACACACGTACGCACGCACGCAAACACAAATAAATAGAGCAAATAGGAAACTGCCTGTGCCGCCGCACGGGCTGGATACAGCTCAGCTAGGGAAAGCGCACACACATACACACGCGCGCACACGCACACAAACTGAATAAGTAGTAAACTGTCTATACCGCCGCACGGGCTACACACAGCACACAGATGATTAGGGAAAGCACACACAAACACAAACACAAACACACACGGAGGCCATCCCAGGCAGTGAGCAAAACCCAGGGAGAACACAACCCTGGAGAAAACAGACTCGCTCTGAAACACACACACACACACACACACACACACACACACACACACACACACTAAGTGGAGGAATGTACAATCCCCCAGCAAACTGTAGCACACTTGGTGAAACAG